GGCGGAGCGCAGCCACACTCACAGCTGGTTCAGCATCCTCTGCATTTCCTCATTGATACTCATGGCCGTGGTCTCATCCTCCTCTTCTTCTTCAGGCTTTCGAGAGGCATCGCTCTCCGACAGTGAGGTGTCTTCATCGCTGACTTGCTTGCGCTCCCGCTTCCGCCCCACCGAGGCTGGGACCTTAACGGGAGACAAGTGCAGAGACTACAGAAACGAGGCCGGGTCCGAGGTCAGGAGCAGGTAGTTGGGAGGAGATGGAGGGGAAAGGAATGGTGGAGGGACAGAAAGGCAGGGAAAGAAAGAAAGAGAGAAAGAAAGAAAGAAAGGAAGGAAGAAAAGCGAGAGAGAAAGAGAGACGGGCTCATTATGATCAGGTTAAAGATGGTGCAATGGATAAAACATGGTTTTAGCTTTTTCTAAAATTAAAACTAAGCAACTAAAGATGGAATCTATGAATCTGATGAGAAAAAACAATGTGGTTTTACTGCAGAAAAACTCAAATTGCCCACCACCCCAGTCCAGAGACAGGGAAACACAGTGACAGAAACAGGAAAAAAGAGACAGAGTCTGAAAAAGATGAAATATGTCAATATTTACAGTCCGACCTTACTTATAGAAAGTTTAAAATTTGTACACTTTCCCAACTGAATGGAACTAACCAGTTGCTTCTGTAGGGACAAAGAGAGCAAGACAGAAAGGCAGCGACATCCAGAAAGAGAAAAGAGACAGAGACAGAGAAGAGAGACAGAGAGAAGATGACGGAGAGGGGAAGGGGAAGGAGAGAGATGGAATTAGAGACAGACACTCAAGGAACTCGTTTCCCTCCTGCAGCTGCTCCCCTACCACTGCGGGGTCCCCAGGCCCAACACAACAGGTCAGTGAGAGGTTGAGGGGACTCTCGATGCCCAAAGCAACATCTGGAGCTTTCCACCTCCTCTCCGTGCCCTTTCGCCTGGTCCTCTTGAGAGAGACAGAGAGCAAGGGACCGCAAGGAGCGAGGGTGAGGGTGACCAAGTGTCTCCCCTAGCAGGGGGCTGGTGTTGTCTCTTCTACCTCCTTCAGCAACTCTCCTCCCCAGAGCCTGGAGCAGCAGCAGGCGCTTCTCACCTGAAACATCTTGATCATGTCCTCGCAGTTCCGCTGCTGTGCCACGTCGCACAGCTTGGCAGTGATGTCGATGCGCCGGCAGATGTCCATGTCCACCTTCATGGCCTTCTCCTGGATCTTGGTGTCCAGCTCCGTGATGTTCTGAACCCACGGTGCCGCAGGAGGATGACAAAGGAGGAAGATTAGGCAAGGCAAATGGCAATCAGAGCTCCCGCTTTCCCCCCCGTGCTGTAGGACTGCATCTGCATCCACTTTGCTCACTGCACCCTGGACCAACCCTGCCAGACCACCTCTGTGCTGGATGTGTCCCACCAAGGAACTGCTTTTCTACGCAGCCCCGCCGCTCGGGTAGGACATTGCTGCCGGGTCAGAGAGGGGTTAGGGACTCACATTGCTCATCAGGCCCTTGAAGACAACAAGCTCTGCCTTGAGCTGCTCCACCTTCATGGCCAGCTCCTCCTGGCAGGCTTCAGCCTCCTGGGCTTCCTGCCCCGGGCAGAAGGAGATGTGCAAATCAGCGTCAGCACGGGGCAGCTGGGGTGCAGGGGAAGGGGGGGACAGAGGTGCTCACCTCCTGCAGCTCAGCCACCCGGTC